AGTTTAAAATTCATTTAAGATTGACTACCACTATGTAAAAATTGGATTTAAATAGAATACATATTTATCTATAATTTCTAGAGGTGAGTATGTCACTGATTTTCATATGACTAAAGTTTAGAACCAGATTTGATCTTCGGATTTAAATCTGATTTCCTTCAGATTCAAATTAAATTTGAATATAAATCTGAACCTACTGAATCTGTATATTAATTTCCATTTTTAGAAATTAATAATTATAATTTCTTTACATACACCCTTGATAGAAATCAATAACTGATAATGATAATTATAATTTCCTTATGCTCTTGTGATAGTCTATATGATACAATTGTATCTCTGCGAAAACCATGATGCATACAGAAAGCAATCAGTTTTATCTTATCTTCGTGCCTTATAGCCTCAATGTTTCTTAGTCCTTTGCAAGAGCTAAGGCTCATATGAAAGTAATAAATTAACTTATGAGCTTTAGCCTTTGCAATAACCTATAAAACTAAAATTCATCTATAAAGCAATCAAGTTTGGCTTTACGATCTTATGACAACTTTTTATATGTAATTAGTTCTCTTTGAGAACTAAAATTTGTATAGAAAGCAATAAATTAAATTGTAAACCCGTTAATATAATAAATGATTAGATCTCTGTAAGAACTAATAGTTTATAAAAAAAATTAATTTGTTTTCACGAATATATTATTATTTCTTACAGAGAACTAAGCCCATATGACAAGTTTACTTAATGATTTTAATTATATAAATAATGTTGCATTGCAAATGAGAGATATGGGTATATTCAAAATAGCCTTTTTCTCCACTCCTTCTTCAGACCTTGATATTTACGAGCCTACTTCTGAAGTTGAGACGTCAATTTTAGCAAGTTCAAACTCTATAAACACTCATAAAAAACGTAAAAGTAAAAATTATCAAAGTAACAAAATCAATAAAAGTTACATGACTCATTTTTTTTCTTAAGATCCTAATGACAATAATATTGCTTATTACATAGTATGTAAAAATCTCAATAATACTAATAAAAAGCCTTATTCTTATAGTCGTAAAGGAGGTACAACTACAAACATGGTCAGTTACTTATAGGAAAAACATAGTGTTATAGGATAGATTTTTAGTTATATTATTATTATTTTATTATTATATTTTAGTTATATTATTAGTTACAT